GGGGGGGGGGGACGGTGCGCGCAGGTGCAGTGTGCATTTTTGCGGGACAAAAAGAGGAGAGATCGGGAGCTTAATCTACATCGCGGGAAGACAAAGGGCGTTTATGCTTTCGCCCGGGAATTAATTCAACGATGGAAAACATTAATCATCCTTTCGCGCTGAACAATGGCCGGCCGGCGTTTGCGAACGAAAGAATGGGACGGAGCGAGGTGCAATTAATTTCAATTATTCGTGGCAATTCGCGGACACAGGCAAGAGCAAATAGAGATATGTATAGTAGGCGATTGCGGACAAAGCCAATGAAGTCGGACGGATGAATATTAATTAACGATTTGTAAATCGATCGCCACCGAGCCGGTGCCAGAGTTACCGATTCGGCATCGGATCGACCGCGACGCAGGCGAATTCTTTACGAAACCGATGCAGAGAGAGAGAGAGAGAGAGAGAGAGAGAGAGCCGACGCGATTGCGAGCTGGTCGGAATTTTTCACAAATGGAATTTCGCTGAAAACGAGCGAGTCTCACGAAACGGTTGTTGCTTCGTTCAAACTCGGTGTGTGGATTCTTGATCCGCACGAGTGGGTGTTTCAATAAGTCAGATTGAATTTATCGCTCTGATAAGATGGAGCACAATATCAGATTCACTCTTCAACTTCGAATGAAAGTATTTACTCGGACGTTTCAGAGCGGAGAATTCGTTTTGTATGAGTGAAGATTTACTTGAACTCGAGTAATTCGGCCCGATCGTTAGTGGATTTCAGTTAGTTCGATCATTAGCGGATAATCTAATTATTCTCACGCCGGCGAGTTGTGGGGCGCGGTGTTGAGTGACACGCGACACACTTGTGTGCCGACTAATACAGATAATGGATAAGCGCGGGGAGATTAGAAATGTACGTCGTAACTATAGTAATCTGCTTAAAAGTAGCCATAACTCAGCCGTGCGCCGTCGTCTCGGCTTTTAATTAAGGGATGGTCGTAATCTCGCGGAGTGTAGCACGGATTTATGAAATAAGAACAATCGTTGCGGGGGCAGCGGTTGGAAGCGATGTCCGAACTTCACGGGGGAATTTAAATGCTTAAAGTTTCGCCATTTAGTTTAGAAAGGTCGACTGCGTGTGCGCACCGTTGTAAAAGTTTCAACGCGAACCACTCGCTACTGTTTTTCCGCGGGCTTCCCCTCAATTTTTCACGACGCGAGAAATACGGCACGGCGAGAAGTGAAATTTTCATTCGATTCGCCGTAATAAGGATTTGTATAAAAGGACGACGTCGCGAAACGACGCGAAAGTAAAGCGGAAGGAATCAAATAGTAAAATCTGCCAGACACGATGCGAAATTTCGCGTTTTACTAGTCAAAGTTAAAGGTTCAAGAGAGAGAGGTTAATATGTGACAGTATCGTCAAAGTAGGTTTCTACAAGTCTATAGGCTATCCAAGTAGGCGCAATCTAAGTAGGCGCAAACTACCCTTAAGAGTGTCAGTGTCGTTAAAATTTCGACGTGGGTATATAGTCGCGATAATACGACGTGTATTCAGTGCAGCTTAACGTAAGCGATAGGTTTGTAGTAATTAGTGTATACATGTGTGCGTGCGAGGGTGTATGTGTGTGTGCTCGGTAAATTGCAACATGAAATTTGGAAATCCAGAATGCTGCCCGTGCCATTTCGGCCGAATCGTTTCGAGGATAATGGGACTGGCTGGGCTTTCGTAAATTCGAATGCACACACGTCACATTTCCATCGGGCTAATAAAGACGGCAATTTAATATTAAGGATAGAATTGCGATGGAACGAGGACGCGATTCAATCAGAGAGTGACGATACATTACTATGAATTAAGCGTTTTCGAAAGGGGGTCAAGAGTCCACTCCAGGTCAAAGCGGGGTTATCGTGCTCACACTTTCCGCGCACATCTCGTTTCCCGTACAGAATTTATTGCCTAACCGCGAGTCGCGGGGATAGGAAGAGCGTTCCGCGAAAAAAAAAGAGAAAAAAAGGAGAAAGGAGGAAACTGTATGAATAGATAAAAATACAGGATAGGATGCAGCAGTGAAGATACATGTGTGTATCGGTACATATACGACTGCGCGGAATCGCGAGTCTGAATATTTCGATACGAATTGAAATTCTTCTCACGCCGGAGAATCCGAGACGAAATTTTGGATCTACGTTAAATCTTTAATCTTATAACACAGTAAGAGCTGAGATAGCAAAATATATGTTCCATTTTAACGATATAATTTGTCTCTTCTTTGATCATAATGATGTCTTAAATTACCGTTTTCGCGTATTTTCAACGTTAAAATAGGTTGAACACCCGTGACAATTTGATAATAGAATATCGAACATTTATAGCTTCAAGTTAGCGTCAAAATTAAATTTGTAGAATTAAAGGTTTACAAGAGAAATTAATAAGAGTACATAGAAACAAAATTAATATCAAAATTCAAGAATATATTTTTTTTGTGGAACTATATAGAATTTCTTCATATGAACAGTTTTTATATTCATATAAGATTACATATTCTTGCTCATATATGAAAATATGAGTCCTGAATTGACACTAATTTTCTTTTTTCGCGTATAATATCGTCAAAGTAGATTTTTGTCAATTTACAGGCCATCTAAGTGGACGCAAACTGTCCTCAAGAGCGTCAAAACACCATCAAGATATCGACTCGGCGATGTTTGGTTTACGCATCGCTACGTCTTAGGATACACATTTTATCGTAATAAAAAGCCCAAGACAAGATGATGGATGTTTTTTATGATAATGTAGGCGGCGCGTATCATATTCCATGTGAAAAATGATAATGCGCTCCGATCGATTCCCGATATTCCCTCGATACACTCCGTCCGTATTCCGCGTGCGGGCTTAATCGCGCGCGATACATCAAATATTGCCTCGATATTCGGCCGTAATATTAATAGACGGCGGACATTTAATTGTCGCGTGGATTGCCGGGGATTAATCGGGCGTGATCTGAAAAATCGACGGCCGTGTGTAACTGGGACTCCCGGCGAAACGTAATTAGCGCAAGCTCGCGTAGCGCTCGCCGTGAGGATATCGCCGGAAAGTATCGTCGAAGTGCACGGACACACGCGACCCTACGGCCGTAATTTAATGATCGTCGATAGCGCGGCGATAAACTCCGAACTCACCGGAGAAACCGACTTATTACCATCGTCGACCTGAAAAATCGTGCTCGGAATTTTCAAATGACTTCAGACGAATATACATTCGAGTTTCTCCCTCTCTCTCTCTTTCGTCTGCAAATTCCAGGATTAATATCGAGGAGTGGTCTGAGACCCTTCAGTTAAAGTGGACAGTTATAAAGGAAACGAGCAAGGGGAGCAAAGGATGGACAAACACAAAGAGATCGAATATAAGAAAACGACACAATAAGAGAGAAAAAGCAGGCTGGTTCGTGCGAAAATATCCGCAAGGGAGGAACGATGACAGGAACTGGAGTTCGTTGAAACACTTAAACGGTCGAATGCGTAACGAGTGCGAGGTCGAATGGCGGTATTAAGCGGTTAATTGTATCGTAACGCGCAAATTGCCGCTTATAAAGGATCGAATTGACGAGCGGCCACAAAGAATCGTCGAAACGACGCGATGAGATTCCGAATTATTCCGGGCTACAGACAATACAGCAGCGGGACGATAAATGTTTTTTCTCCCGTAAAGCCAGCGAGCTGTAAAATCGAGCAACGATCTCGGCTGTAAAATCGACGATTTTGCACTTTTTACGGGAACGAGAGAGCGACGCGCGATTTCGCGCTTGCTGATCGGCCACTCCTCTTTCTCTCTCTCTCTCTCTCTCCTTATCCCGTCGATGCGAACTACACGACACACTCGGGCGACCGATTTCTTTCCGTGACAAACGACCGGCTTCCACGAGCGAAGGCTAATCTGTAATCTGCCTTTATCGGGCAACGGGGCGATATGAAGGCGTTAATCCGCGGATTACGATCCTCCGTTGAGAGGCTTCGATCGGAACACGCGAGAGAGCTCGGGGGAACAACAGGCGAAGGCATATGATTAAGAGTTTAATTTCATTATTCGAACTTTCGCGAGAATCAGAGAACGTGTCGGGGCAACGCGGCGAAGCGCAGCGACAGCGGCGCAACCGATAATTAGGACAACGCGAGAGGAGGAAACGAGCGAAGGATACATGGAACGGGCGGTAGGGGATGAAGAGAAGATTCGACCTCGTTTGGTTCCGCGATTTTTTCGTCCTCATATTCCGCGAGCGCACCTTTCCTCCCTCCCCCCGCGCTCGCTCTTCGTTCGCCTTTCTCCTCGACGGCGTGCGCTACCGTCGGCGATAATGACTTCCGCGCACCGGCACAAAGAGAGAGACGGCGACCCGACAAGGACTCTTGACCTTTTCGAACGAATGGAATATCCTTCCGACGGTACTTTGCGCGCTAACGATCCTTTCGACGCTCGGCGGCGAGAAGGACGGGGAGAAAACCGGAGCCGTATGTGTGTCACATATGCTCATGGTTATGCATGAAGGGGGGAGAGAGAGAGAGGCTCGCTCGTACGCGAGAAGATAGGGCAGATCGATCGGAGCGCGTTTTCCGCCGCTTGTTTTGCCCATCACGCGCGATCGCAGCCGCT